CAGCTGTGCTGGCCAAAGGCAGTGCTGCCCAAGAGTGCTTACCAATGAAGGGATCAATGACATGACGCTTTTTCACCTTCGTTTCCGTGATGGCAGCGTAATAGGCACAGGTCATTTTGATGAGCCACGCTGCTCTCATTACTGGAACAGTGTATTTGGCCAAATAACCAAAAACCTCTTCCTTCTTGCTAAAGATGGGCACCTGTAATGAAATGGAGAAGGAAAACTGAACAAAGCACTTGGAATAAGAACTGAAGCAGCTAAAGCAGCTATACCTGCTGCAAGTATGAAAAAGGTAAAAAGGCAACAGAGCAACACAGTACCTCTACCTCAAAAAAGCCTGCTGCCAAAATTCACTTGTGGTCAGAAAGCAACAGTACCAGAGCTGCATTTCAGTACAAACAGAAACAAAACAAATTGAAAGAAGACAGAACATATAATTACACCACTGTAAATCCATGCCCTGAATCCTGCAAACATCTTGGAGGTTATCCTCCAGAGAGCACATGAAGAGCTATGAAAGATACAGACTGAGTCAGTAACAGAGTATCTGCCATGCAGAGGGAAGGAAGGACTCTTCACTTTGTATACAAAACCAAGTGGTTACAGATGTCTCACAATATCATGAGTACTCAACAGAAGACTGAGAGAAACTGAGGGAGCTGAGTACATTGCAGGAAGGAATTCATTAATCCAAGATTCAAAATTCAAGATACAATACAGGAGGATACCAGTGAAATAATCAGGCTGCAGGACTATAAACCAGGAGACAGTAACACATCACAGGGAAAAGTACAGCTGTGGGGCTCATTTCCACACAATATTCTGGAGAGTGAAAGTATGTGTGTTTTCACAGAGGAATGAAAAAAATTCACAAGAAACAGGTCCATCTGGCAGGTATATTCAAGTCCCTGAATTACTGATGTTAATTTATGCTATGTTTCCTACATCCTTCCCAATTACTCTCTGATGCCTCAAAGTCAGACTACCTGGCTACTGACAGTCACTCTTTCACATCCAAGTTCACAAAAATGGATGGAAATCATAGCAGGAAAACAGGGGAAAACCTTGAAAGGTTCAAGCTTTTACCATGACCTCAGGAAACTGACAGTCAAAACACAAAGAAGGACTAAGATTATAAAGAGTCAGATACTGGGAACATCTGATTACTTTATTTTCCCCCCAGGAATGACTCAGACCATTTTGCAACTGGGAGTTATGACTTTTCCACAGTGCATACCAGATTCACAAGCACTTTTTTGTAGGCTACCCCGGAGAGAGAGCTAGCTCCCTTGCTATCAGGCCTGATAAAATGCCAGAGTAAGACCTTTTTTCATACTCTACAGAATTCACAGCTATAAGGGGAATATCTACTCCTAAACTCCAGGGCATAGAAATGCTGTAGCCTGGCCAAGACCAAGTGATAGCACAGGTACTCCCCTCTGCTGAAAAGCAGAAACACCTCACTGCAACAGAAGTCTAGGTGATTATTTTCAGTAATTCTCACTAAGACTTTTGAGAACTTGAGAAACCCTCCACAACAGAAATGTCCTAATCTAAACAACAGACCAAAGGCAACAGTGACAGCTCTTCTGAAAAACAACTGAACCTTAAAATAAATCAGTTGTGTCCTACAAGCCAAAAGGCAAAGCTGAACACACCTCAAAATAACAGCCTAGAGACCAGATCTCAAAGTGTGGATGACTACAGTCAGGGCACTACAAATCCCACATCCACTCTGCAAGCTGAAAGCTTCACAAGCTGTATAGACTTGTGCAAACAGTAAAAGCCTTCAGAAAACCTTGAGAAACAAGCACAGATTAAACTCTGCCCTGCCAGGCTGCCTCTCCTGTAACATACCTTCTTAGCAAGGTGAGTGAGGGGCTTAGTTCCAGCCAGATCTGTGAACCAGTTGTTTATGGCACTCTGGGAACGTGCTGTCACCAGCCAAAAGTTATCCTTCTGATTGACCTGGGGTTTCCGTCTGCCCGTGTCAGGCAGGGTGTTGCACCGTAGCTTTTCTGCAATAATACTGCTAAAATTGGAGCTGATCTAGAGGAGAAGGAAAAAAATAAAGGATTCATTACATTTCAGAGGTCAAAGACCTGATCAGTGCGCTTAAAATTTATCACTCATTTATCACTACTACCAGAAGTCTCACCAGTATCAACTTTTGAAACACAAAGTAACTGCCAATAACTCCTTTGTTATACTTGCAGAGATTAATGTGTCTAGACAACTCATACAATAATCAAGCAGGGACTCAAGTTGAGATGGACACAACCCTTTAAAAAATACCTGTCAAACCAGACAGAAATCTCTTCAGACAAAAGTCAGCCAAAGAAAACAAATATCCTGTGCTTATTGATTGCCTTCCAACTCAGGTCATTACTAGTTGTTTTGCCAGGAAGTCAACATCTTGACTTCAGAGACTGGAAAATGGAGTTGAAGCCTATTATATAACTCCCATTTTTAAACTTCCAGATGTTTCACGAAATCGTACTTTCCTTTTACTATGCCAATTTAATGTAACCAAGCCAATAAGGAGTTTTTCTCTCCTACTATCACAGCTTTGTGCTTTAACAGCAGAATTTAAGGAGTCCTAGATGCTGGCTTAACCAATACTGCAGACACAGACCTGCCCCTAAGATGGACTGAGCCAGACAAGAACCTGCTCTCTCAGAGGTGGGACACACTTCTAAAAGAATGCAGAACTTGGATTCTACAGAAACGGAGGGTCAAGTCTTAAAAACACCCACACAAAAGGGGAAGATCTCCTAGTTCTCGACACACGGAAGGAACGAGACCCAGGACTGTGCAGGATCCAGCCGCCTGCCCTGCCAAACCCGCCCTCGACCGTCGGGACGTCTCTCACCTTCGCCGGGTTGAAATTGACATTTTTGGCACTGCCGTGCTCGTCCCCAGAGACCGCCGGTTGGTTATTGAAGCCTTGCTTGACATTCAGCGCAGTCAGCTCATCCTGCGGGGGAAGGACGGTCAGCACGG